CACCAGTTTGCTCAAAGCCTCATCCAGCCTGGCCTTGGATACTTCCAGGGATGGGGCATCCACAGCTTCTCTGGGCAACCTGTCCCAGTGCCTCCCCACCCTCTCTAGGAAGAAATTAATTTTCAGGGATTGTGCTTTTGGTACTTAGCCAGTTTTTAGTTAATTAGCATATCTGTGTCCAGTTATGGTCAAATCAATGACTTCCTTAAAACATGCTGCCTCTGCATCCTGAAACAGGTATGTTGTCCTTTGGTTACAGCGCAAGTTTGGAAACTGAAGATTTGTAACTTTGGATCATCCTATGCACATGTTGGTGTTACCTATGTAACTGGCATTTGCTGTTCTTTTCTGGCTTCTATTGGCACTTTTAAATGATTTTTTTCTTTTTTCTGCTTTTTTATTACTGCTCCCATATTTTGAAATTGGAGGATGTTTTGAATTCGTTTCATTTTAACTTTTTTTCAGGCAGTGTGAATGCTTGCTTAAACATGTCAGATCTCGGCTTTGCTGAGCAAAAAGTTAACGTCGCGATTCTTGCAAGTAGATCATCGCCATGACTGACATTGTTTATTGTACTTCTGTTTTTAGAATAATATATAAATGCTCTATGTGTGACACTGTGTTTACTCTACAACCTTTGCTCTATCGCCACTTTGATCAGCACATTGAAAACCAGAAGGTGTCTGTTTTCAAGTGTCCAGACTGTTCTCTTCTGTATGCACAGAAACAGCTTATGATGGATCACATCAAGGTGTGTAGGCATCTTCTCTTGTTTCATTTATAGATACCGTTTGTTATGCAATATTTGCTGTGGGAAAATACTGTAAAAAGGCACAGTGTAGCAAGACGACTGGTGAAAGAGAGATGTTAATAATGCCAAGTGAGTAATCTGTGAATAATGTTCTCCAGTGTTACAATGTTGTATTTCCACAGTCTTCAGCATATCTGTGATATAATCACTAATGCGGTTCTCCTGTGTTGGTACACAAGGGATGTCTCAGCACATTGCATTCAATAGGTCATTTGATCAAAGTACAACAAAGTACATGGGTACAACAAAGTAAGTCTGATCCTAGTCAGTATTGAGCCTTATTTACAGTATTGTAAGTACTGTTCCAGCTGTTTGTTAGGAGCTCAGGATGCTGAGCAACTTAAAAAATCAAGCCTATGGTGCTCAGAATTCACCAGTAGGAACCAGTATGTTTCCACAACAGATGCAGAGGTTATCTGTGTGCATGTTTATGTACGGACATGAACAGCTGCATGTTTGGAAGAGTATTTGAAGTGGATTTTCTCAGAAATGCCCCCAGAGCTGAAGAAGATTTACTGTCATCCTTCCAAGTCAGGTTATTAAGAATCCACTGGCTATAATTTGTTAGCTGTGTATTTTAAATATACTGTGTTACCTTGGTTCATAGATACCAGGTCTGTTAGCAGTGCTGAATTTCCTATGCCTTATTAACATGTGGTGCCTGGTAGTGGGTGAAGTTATGTACACCATTGCCCACTCTTGTTTTTCTGGCAGCAGCACATAAGACTTAGTAAAATTTGTCTACGGAACAGTGGAAAACCAGACATCTGTCTCATGTGCTAACACCATCATTTTGCATTTCAGTCTTGATTACAGCACTTGGAGACTCAGAAATTGATGAAGTTGTGTTAAAAAGATAGGTCTTGAAAAAAACAGTTGGTCTGAAGGCCAGTTGTAAGCTGGAGGACGAGATAGAGAAGGGCTGGTTCAAGACTTTCAGAAATGCAAGGACTGGGTATTTTCTTTATTTCTGAACTCGTTCATATTTACCATAACAATCATCATGTATTTATACCAGCTCCCTTGAATGGTCCTCTCATGCAGCGTCCCATTTTCTCTTTCCTTGATGTACTTGCATTGCTTTTTTATTTAACTAAATAGGCAAATTCTGTATGTTGCATTGAGTGTCTTATTTATGTAATTAGTTTTTCTCACCTCAGGCATTATTGTAAAACTGTTGGTATATCTGTACATAAGTATTTAAGACCTGAAAACAGCTATTTTAGGAGGATGAGCGGGGGCCAGAAGGTGTTCTTACATAAATTATGATTGCTCAGCATCTCTCGTGACAAATTTATTCTTAGTTTCTTACGGTTTGGATACTATTTGACTCTCGTGTCTCTAGTGTTCCCTGCCAGTATTTGTACTTTCACCCAGTGGGTTTAAAACAACACAGAAGAGGATAGGAAGAAACTCAGGAGGAGGATATTTAAAGCTACAGAAATAACCTAGAATGATTTCTTGTTGTTTGGTTTTCCTGTCACAGCTCACTGCAGGAAAATTGCTACGAGCCAGGGGGAGCAGGTGGTGGGGGTCTGGGCTGGAGTGTGACACCCCCTGGTGCTGCTGGTGCTGGGTGCTGTGAGCACTGTGACTCTCTGCTGGGCTTCAACTCTTACTCTTTATTTTCACATAAGAAATGATATTTTGTGTGCTGTATTTGAAAGACATGGAGAAAGCTGAGCACTAGCATTTTGCTTGCATCAGGTTGAGCTGGGCTGGAATCTCCACATCAGTCTTCAGTTGCCTGGAAGTGCAGGAGCCTCCTTCCTCTGAGCCCGTGCTGCTTTACTCTTTTCCTAGGGCAGTGGGGGATACTAAGGACAGCCTCCTCCATTATTATACGGCTTCTTTGTGCTTGGGGCAGCCTGTCAGTGCTGTGCGCTTTGCTTTTTAATAGCATTTTAGGTGTTTCAGTGAGCGACTTTTCTTCTATTAACAGCTGATAAATAGAAGAGTGTGTTCCAGAGATCAGGTGAGTTTGTGCCGTCAAGCTGGCGGGTAGGCAGTCCCAAGAGCCACATGATTCACAGAAGAACTGGGTACTGAAGTATTACACTGGAGTATCGGATTTGTATTGTACAGTCTCAGAATCAAGGATGTGTGGAATGTTTTTTTGCTCCTGAGGTTACCTCTAGGAGAAACAGTGATGTTTGGAAAGGCAAGACACAATCACACAGGAGAGTTGTAATAAAGGTCAGCAGATAACGGGATCAGAACTCTGGCAGTGTAAAGGGCAAGGCTTCAGACGTCAGAGGCCTCAATAGTGTCCAGGCT